CGAAAGAATAAATGGACACAAGAATTGTAAACATTCAAAAACCAGTAGGAGAACACTTCAATCTCCCTGGACACTCAATAACAGACTTAAAAGTTGCCATTCTTCAACAACAAAAATTCAAAAAAAGACTCCAACGAGAAACTGCAGAACTGGAATTAATTTGCAAACTGAACACCATCAAATTAGGCCTGAATAAAGACTGGGAGTGGATGGGTCATTACAAAAAGTAATTTTCCCCTATGCTGATACTCACACCTTCTTGTCAACTGTTGGAAATGGGCGACACCCACCTTGATTGCATTGGCCTTGTTAGCACTACAAAAGTAATTTTCCTCCTTTGATATTCACCCCTTCTTGTCAATTGTTGAGAATAGGCCACTTCCACCTTAATTGAATTAGCCTCATTAGCACTGACCCCCCACCCCCAACTTGGTAAGGCAACTCCCATCTTTTCATGTGCTGTAATATTTATACTGCTTTCTGTGTTTTTCACTCCATGCATCTGATGAAGTAGGTTAGTCTCTAAGATGCCACAAGGACTCCTCGTTGTTTTTGCTGATAGACTAACATGGCTACCACTCTGAAACCTATGCGTTTATATGTGTCTAAGGTTACGGGGCCAAGATCCTGACTGGAGTTTATAGGCACTTCTGCAGTGTAAGTGTTAAATGAAATAAAGCACGGATGCTGTGCATGTAAGAAACCCCACTTTTAGCAAAGAGAAATGCAAATAAACTACCACACTTTCATCAGCCTTGACAATGTGTGCTGATTGTTTCATTGTTGTTGGGGAAGTGGCTGGTGTTCTGGTATTTTATTTGCAGGTCAAACGGAGAGAGTTTACTCAGCAGGTGGGTTTATTCAAGAGTTCTCATTTAGTTCTTCCTTGGGTCATTTTAAGATCAGTCTCATTTCTCCTTAGCATTGTTCCAACCTCAGATGATTCTGGGAACAATCCCAAGTTTTAACTGGCTGCCAGATTTAACTGGCTACATTTAATTTCATGAAACATGGCCATATAGCCAAAGATTTGTATGTCTGATAAGCATTTGTGATGCTAAGATGTTGCGCCTCACAGTCCTTGAGATAAGATGCCAAAAATTCATTTCAGATCTGTCTGCACAATTCAGAAATTTCATTTCACAACAGAAATCCCTAGAAACTAACTGGCACATTATCAACAATTTACATTTACTGAGAATTATCTGAGTAGCTGTTAGCAGACTGAAATGTCGGTGTACGAGTGACAGTGATTTCAGCTGCTAGAATCATTTAACTTTAAGAACATTGCTGGATTTTCACAGTTTCATTGGCCTACCTATAGAGGTTAGTATGATACTTTACTGAAATTTTTAATGTTGCTCATGGATGAATGTTGAGTGGCTGGTGTTTTTTGCTAGGGTTTTTGCAACCAGCTATTTTTATAGAATTTGAGGCTCTGCTTTCAGTAAGTTGGGGACAGGTGTTAGCTCAAGAATTTCCCCCCTGTCAGCTTCCTAATATCTGATTTTGTGTTCTTCATTTCTGATATTTTTTGGGGTATCACAATTTTTTTGTGCATGTAGCATTCAACCCCAAATATATGGGGGTAGGGGGGAGTGATGGCGTAAGTGGGACTTTTCCAAACTGATGCTAGCCTAAGGATTACCTAACTCCAATTGGGCCTTGTTGTCAGAATTATCAATATTATTTATTTGTATTATCATGGCACCTAGGCACCCTAGTCATGGACCAGGACCCCATTGTGGTAGGCACTGTACAAACAGAACAAAAAGATAGTCCCTGCCAACAGAGCTTACAATTTAAGTATAAGACAAGAGACAACAAATGGATGTAGACAGATAGATGGGGGAGTTACAGGGAAAGAATGAGTCGATATTGCTCAACACGATAGTCAGTGGTCTCAGCCCACCAGCAGCCTAGCTGTTGTTAGATCAAATACGTTATTCCAGACACATTTTATACCGGATTTGCCTGTAGGCCTTGGCAGAGTAAGCCGGGACCACAAGCCAGAAGAATCAAGGGTAAGGCCAAGGGCCTTTGCCTTTCAGATCAATAAGCCATTGGGGGGTGGAGGGAACACTGACATTCCAGCACCCAGAGACTGATTACCCCTGGAGCAAGAAGTCACAAATGAATGGGCTACACCAACCTTTTACCAGTCTCCCTGTACCCAAAAAAGCCTGCTACTGTGAAGCACTGTGCCGGGAAGGCCATCATCTGGCTCCTTGATTGCAGCAACAACTCCTGACCCACAGGAGTCCCAAAGACGCTGAGAGCCAAAAGTTCATGATCCCCAGTATCTCGAGCATCTAGTTTTTCCTAGTTATGACTAGACAACCTGGCTGGCTTATCTAAGGCAATCAAATTGTGTATAAGGATAACCAAGGCACACGTTACGGCATACATAACAGGGTTCCAAGAACAGGTGGAGTGCTACTAAAAGCTGCAAGAAGACAAAAACAAATGGATAGTTTGGAATACAGAATTTGCTGAGTTTTCCCAGGTACTGAACAGGTGAGTCAGAGGCACTAACCGCTCCCAGTTTAGATTTTGTTCAGTGTAGATCTGTTTTAAAATGACTACTGGGCACTCCTGTTTCACCCAGAGAGATTGGGCCTGATCCTATTAAAATCAATGGCAAAACTCAGAATGATTTCAACAGAAGCAGCATTATTGTAATGACTTAGGATCTGATTTTCCAGGGTTCTGTGTGCCTGCTGTAAGGTGCCGAGCTTGGCAAATCCTGTAAAACATCTACCCACAAGCATTAGTATAAATAAAACCAGTGAATGCAATGTGACAATATTCACAGCACCCTTTTAGCCATTGTTTGCAGAGACTTGGAGGGCTCTGTTTTGTTTACACAGTTGGTGCAGGGGAAACACTTATTCCCATGAATATGTTTGTTCTTGAGCAAATATCAATAGTTATGTAGGAATGAGGATCAGCTCCAGAAACTGCAAAAAATATGGTCATCCAATCAGAGAGTAGAAACAATATCTTTTTACTTAGGTGACCAATCACACAGCTCAGATAATGAATAGCACACAAACAATCCACAGGCTGAAGTGTGTTCACCTAAAGCATATATCAAACAGTTGTGAACACTGAAAAAAGCCACAAAACTCACTGTCTGTTTGTAGCTGCAGAGAAAGGGCTAAATTCCACAAATAATTTGCTCACTGAAAACAGTTCAATTTGTTTTACTACTGTCTCTCCTTACCTCTCCTTAAAATCTACTGGTGTTGGAGGGCCCTCAGCATTTTGCGGCATCTGGCACCTACACCTTCTTGTTGCCAGACAGTTACAGTAGGGAATTCAGGCTGCACAAACAATTATGAGGGAAGGTGTTAGTGAGCCATATATAAATTCTCCAGCACTGATTTGTAGATCTGAATGCTTGAACTTTCTCTAAAAAGAACAGGAGTACTTGTGGCACCTTAGAGACTAACAAATTTATTTGAGCATAAGCTTTCATGGGCTACAGCCCACTTCATCAGATACATAGAATGGAACATATAGTAAGAAATAAGGTGCCACAAGTACTCCTGTTCTTTTTGCAGATACAGACTAACACGGCTGCTACTCTGAAACCTGAACTTTCACTGTGTAAACTTCTCACTGGAATAAAGCTGTTCTTTGTTTTAGCTTCTTTTATTTGGGAGACCCAGCATCAGATCCTCATGTTATACCCACTAGCTGAATGTCCCTGAGGACCAGCGATACCTAGACTAGACGATGGGTTCTGGATCTCTAATTATATTATTAGTAATTATAAGATTACACATTAGTTGATGAATAGTTCATGATTTTAAACAAAGATGTTGAGAGGTGCCATGGTCCAGTGGATAGAGACTGGGCCTGGGACGCAGCACACTTGGATTCTATTCCTAGCTCTGCCACTGATCTGCTGTGTGGCCTTGGGCAAATCACTTCACCTCTCTATGCTTCTGTTTCACTTCCCACTTTTTGTTTGCCTTGTTTCTGTAATTCTCTGTCTAAAAAGCTTACATTATCTCTTACTATGCTTAGCACAATGGGGTCCCAGACTCAGTTGGGGCCTGTAGGTACTACCACAATACAAAAAATAAATACTAATAGATGACATTTTCAACTAAGTTCCTCAGAGTAGGTACTATCTCTTAGTTATGTGTCTGTGCAGAGCCTAGCCCAGTAGGTACCTAATCCATGAATGGAGCTTTTAGGCACCACCATAATAAAAACAAATAATAATAATGTTGCAGATCAACTTCAGAATGGATCCAGTCATACGACATCTGGTTTCACTCTATTATACCGCCTGCAAAAGTTATACTTTCATTGCATTGCATGATGTGATTCCTAGTACGTACTGACGGCATTTAGTAAAAATAAAAGATCACAGGAGTGATCAGCCGAAATCAATGGACGTTTTGTCACAGATTTCAATGAGAGTAGGACTGGTCCACTTCTCCTTTCACTTTGTCTCTACACTGGGCTTGTAACTATTGAATTGCTGCCCTTGAAAAACAGCACTAGTCAAAACCTTTAAAACAAACTGATCTATGCACTATTTAACATTCAAGTGTCAAAACATAGTGGGGAAAACACTTCTGAGCAGTCACAAGACTATAGAAGAGTGAAAAGATAACATTTGAAAGGATTTTTTTTTATAATGATGGTTTGTAATTAACCTATTTAAACAAACTGCAACAGCAGCTGTGTAAATGTTGAAATGGTTTCAACATTTCCATCTGATTAAATAAGGAGAAATAATGGCTTCTTAGTACATTCACTAATCAACAATGAAACCTCAGTGGAAACTACTGACATGCCATAGTTGGTCTATTATTAATTTTAACTAAATTTCAAGCCAGCAACCATGCAAACACTGCTTTGGATATTTATTTTACTTAAAAAAAAACACTTATTTTCCATGGCTTGCATTTTTTTCTGTACACAGAAGGGTAAGACATATGGCGCCTAATTCTAATCTCTCTCACACTGGTGTAAACCTGTAATAACTCCCCTGAAGTCGGCATGTCGATGTAAAACTCACATAAATGAGATCAAAGTTACTGCCAGATCCTCACGGCTGATGCTCCCAATGAACATCAAGGTTGTGAGCTGTGACACAAACCAACAGAAAATCACAAAAGGTTAAAAAATGTCTTTTGCTCTTGCTTGCATGCTTTTTAAAACATGTATTTATTTCCATGATGGTGTGAGTTCAGGATGGAAAGTCATGGGGCTCATTATGGCTCCAATTCAGCAAAGCAGAGATGCAAATATGCATCTTCAAGTAAGCAGTAATTCCACTGAAGTCAATGGAAATACTTTGTGCGTAAATACTTTGAAGCATATATATATGCTTCAGTTCTTTGCTGCACTGGGCCCTAAATAGCACAAGATAGAGCCAGCAATGGTGCAGAGAGACTGTGCTGTATGCTTACTTCTCAGACGTAGCATAACCAATCCATAACTTAACATTCTTCTGATGTTGCAGACCTGGCTCTCTCCTGTGAAAAGAAATTGCCAAATTGTGAGATTTTTCGGGGTTATTCACTTCACATACAAGATAGGTACTCAGATCATCAGAATTTAAAAAGACTAAGCATTCAATCCCATTATTATTTCTATTAAAAATAGATAACAGAAAGAGATAAAATATTGATTTCCATTAGTTCAAAGAGTTGAACAGATAACATTAACTTAAGCATATATTCATACTTATTATTTTAGTGTTAAATCAATTTTTAGATTTTTTTAAAACAGTAAAAAAGTGCATAAGTCACCAGCAGAGTTAGGAGTACATAAGAAGAACATAAGAATGGCCATACTGGGTCAGACCAAAGGTCCATCAAGCCCAGTATCCTGTCTTCTGACAGTGGCCAGTGCCAGGTGCCCCAGAGGGAATGAACAGAAGAGGTAATCAACAAGAGATCCATCCCTTGTCACCCATTCCCAGATTCTGACAAACAGAAGCTAGGGACACGATCCCTGCCCATTCTGGCTAATAGCCATTGATGGACCTATCCTCCATGTCTCCTTAGCAGGGTGTATACAATCTAACTAACTGACTACCAGAAAAAACTGGTTAGGTATTTTCCAGCTACATATTTTTTGTTGGAAAATATAGTTTGGTTTTGCTGAATTGATATGTGGGAAAATGGCCATTTTGACAAATCCCCCAATTTAAAAAAAATGAAAAAAAGATTTGAAATTGTCAAAATATTTTCAAAATGAAAAGTTTTGTTTTCTGGTTTGAAATGACTTTTCGTTTACAAGTTTTACTTAATTTAAAGTAATTTTTTAAAAAAGAAGTTAGAAATTAGGGCTGTCGATTAATTGCAGTTAACTCTCGGGTTAAGTAAAAAAAACTAATTGTGATTAAAAAAATTAATTGCGATTAATCGCAGTTTTAATCACACTGTTAAACAATAGAATACCAATTGAAATTTATTAAATATTTTTGATGTTTTTCTGCATTTTCAAATATATTGATTTCAAAATTACAACACAGAATACAAAGTATACAGTGCTCACCTTATATTATTTTTATTATAAATATTGAACTGTAAAAATGACTAAAGAAATAGTATTTTTTAATTCACCTCATACAAGTACCGTCATGCAATCTCTTTATCGTGAAAGCGGAACTTACAAATGTCAATTTTTTTTGTTACATAACTGCACTCAAAAACAAAACAATGTAAAACTTTAGAGCCTACAAGTCCACTTAGTCCTACGTCTTGTGCAGCCAATCGCTAAGAGAAACAAGTTTGTTTATTGTGGTGGGGTGACTTCCCCACACAGGGAGGAAGGGTTAAAACAGGCCAGAGGGAGCCTGCACAGAACTCTCCAATTAGAGGAGTGCTCACTAAGTGAGCCAGTTGGGAGGTGGCTTGTTACAGCAGCCAATGAGGGCCAGCAGGGGCCATATATAAAGGGCTGTTCAACAGAGCAGAAGGAAGTCACTCCTTGGCCTGCTAGGGAGAAGGACTGTCTGCCTACAAGCACCATTGCTAGATCAGTTCTGGGCGGGATAGCAAAGCAGACGGAGCTTCTGGCTGACTGCTGCCATACTGAGGCCCTGGAGGAAGGACAAATAAGGTGCTAGAGCTGCCCCGACTTGCCCTGAGCGAAGTGGCCAACACAGACTGCAGTTTTCCCCTGGACTAAGGGATTAGACTAATGACTGCAGCAGGCCATCGAGGCGAGTGGCTGGACTATAGATTGCCAGTTCCCCCAAAAGGTAGGGAGACAGCGGAGCGGGGCACAGCCAGAGTGCTGTGCCAAGAAAAGGACGCCGTGGTCCGGAGAGCGATGCGGGTCACAGATGTGGAGACAGCAAAGTGGGAGTAACAGCGAGTGAGACACCATCGGAGGAGGGTGCCCTGTGGAAGGATCTGAGCTAATTCCAGAATGGCCAGCAGGAGGCACATGGTTATGAGTCTTGCACCGCTACATTTATATTTATGGGAGATAATGTTTCCTGCTTCTTATTTACAATGTCACCTGAAAGTGAGAACAGGCGTTCGCATGGCACTGTTGTAGCTGGCATGGCAAGGTATTTATGTGTCAGATATGCTAAACATTCATATGCCCCTTCACGCTTTGGCCACCATTCCAGAGGACATGCTTCCACACTGATGATGCTCGTTAAAAATATAATGTGTTAATTAAATTTGTGACTGAACTCCTTGGGGGAGAATTGTATGTCTCCTGCTCTGAGTTTTACCCACATTCTGCCATATATTTCATGGTATAGCAGTCTTGGATAATGACCCAGCATGTTGTTTGTTTTAAGAACACTTTCACTTCAGATTTGACAAAACGCAAAGAAGATATCAATGTGAGATTTCTAAAGATAGCTACAGCACTCAACCCAAGGTTTAAGAATCTGAAGTGCTTTCCAAAATCTGAGAGGGTCGAGGTGTGGCACATGCTTTCAGAAGTCGTAAAAGAGCAACACTCCAATGCGGAAACTACAGAACCTGAACCACCAAAATAGAAAATCAGCCTTCTGCTGGTGACATCTGACTCAGATGATGAAAATGAACATGCATTGGTCTGCACTGCTTTGGATTGTTATTGAGCAGAACCCATCATCAGTATGGACACATGTCCTCTGGAATGGTGGTTGAAGCATGAAGGGACATATGAATCTTTAGCGCTTCTGGCATGTAAATATCTTGCAATGCTGGCTACAACAGTGCCATGCGAACGCCTGTTCTCACTTTCAGGTGACATTGTAAACAAGAAGTGGGCAGCATTATCTCCTGCAAATGTAAACAAACTTGTTTGTCTGAGCGATTGGCTGAACAAGAAGTAGGACTGAGTGGACAGAAAGGCTCTAAAGTTTTACATTGTTTTATTTTTGAATGCAGTTATTTTTTGTACATAACTACGTTTGTAAATTCAACTTTCATGATAAAGAGATTGCTCTACAATATTTGTATTAAGTGAATTGAAAAATACTATTTATTTTTACAGTGCAAATATTTATAATAAAAATAAATATAAAATGATCACTGTACACTTTCTATTCTGTGCTGTAATTGAAATCAATATATTTGAAAATGTGGAAAACATCCAAAATATTTATATAAATGGTATTCTATTATTGTTTAAAAGCACAATTAATCGCAATTAATGTTTTTAATTGCGTGATTAATTGTGATTAATGTTTTTAATCGCTTGACAGCCCTATTAGAAATCAAATGTTTTGAAATTATTGAACTGAAACATTTTGATTGACTGGATCTGATTTTTTTAAAAATCAATTTGCGAGAATTTTTGAGATTTTGACTTTTTATCCTGATTTGGGATGGGACATTTTTTTGAAATCTCATGCTCTCACTGTTTCTCACCCCACTCTGCTACTAGATACCATTGCAAAGTGTGCATTTCTGAAAAGAGACACACATTCACAGAGCAAACGCCCAGAGCTTAGAGCTAATTTTCTACTCTATGTCGCCAGTAAACAATTTTCAAATGTTCCTAACTTGGCTAACTTCCTACATAATGTTTTAACATTTATGATCAGACACTGCACTTTTTTCTATGACCCTGATTCAGCAAAACCACTTAGCACATTGCCTAGGCAGCAGACAGGCCAAACCCACAAAACCCCCCCGCAGAAATTGGACTTGTTTTTGGCTTAATTGGCTTGTTAGTTGCTTGTTGGCTAGTTTTTGGCTTGTAGCTTGTTGCTTCTTTTTTTTTGATTGGCTCCTGGCAAGCAGGGGCAAGCAGGGGCAGGGGGCGGGAGAGCAGAAGGGGTGCACAGCAGGCCAACCACAGTCCCAGACTGCACGCTGGGGGGATCTAGTCACATAGAGTGTTGGGGTTCTTAGAGATTGGCTTGTTTTGGCCTTGTTTTGAAATGGGATTAGCTTGATTTTTGGCTTATTGTGTAGGCCGGGGTGCTTATTTTACCACGTGAAAGTTGGCAACTGTGCTGGGCAGGTGCTTAAGTGCTGTGCTGAATAGGAATGTACTTAAGCATGTGCTTAATGTTAACCACACAATTAAATGTTCTGCTGAATTAGGGCCCATGTATGGAACTCCTATTGACTCCAAGTGGGCATTGTGAGTGTGCAAGGAAAGCAGAACGGACTCCTACAGTGAAAAAAAATTGTTAGAAATTAATAAAGTAATGATCACTTGGAAGCAGGACAGAATCTGGATAAGCAAAGTGGGTTAAATTCAGAGCCAATTTCCATAGCCATAGGAATAGTTACAAGAAGTAGACTCCCTGTTAATACAATGTGAATGTTGCACGATTAAAATCACAAAAGATCAGGAAATGGAACTATTAGGGTACCCACGTAGATGTCATATTGAACAGGTTGCACGTGTTGCATTTTCTATTCCTATTTTTCTTCCTAACCGTGTAGCTCAATAGGCCACTGTATATAGCTGTGCATTTATAAGGCCTCCATCACCTAAATGCTACTGCATTGATGGAGATTTGTGCATTTAATATGCACTTAGGTTCAATACATATCATTTATCCTTAGCTAGAACTGATCATGAGATAGTAAATACAAGAAAAGCCTTATTTGTTGTTATGTTACAACAGCACCCAAAATGTGCTAAACCACTGTACAAACATACAGGAGATAGTCTCCCTTCTCCAAGGAATCTTGACAGCAGTTAGGATGCTGGTGTGCTGAGACCACTGCCGATCATGCTGACCAACATTGCCTCATTGTTTCCTTGTACTCCCTCATCTGTGTCTCTTGTCTTACACTTAGATCATAAACTCTTTGGCGGGCAGGGGTTGTCTTTTTCTTTTGTGTTTGTAGCGTACCTAGCTCAACAGGGTCCTGGACCATGACAGTGGCTCGTAGGCACTACAACAATACAAATAAGAATAAATAATAATCTGAATAAAGACTAAGACACACTAAGGGGGGAAAATCCAATTGGATAGATAGCAGAAGAGAACAGTGTATATACACAAAATCACATCACTATTTATGCATGTCTGTCAATGTGGCATAGCTAGGAT